TAAAATACTAAATTTTTTTACTAAAAACAAAACAGCACGGAGAAGAAAAAACTCTTCTCTTTTTTTTCCCCTCAAATGTGGACTAAATTTTCTCAAAATCTTTTACCTCAAACCCCTCCAACTAATACTCGAACAAACCACCAAGATTGAACACTATGTCCTTAATAAAAATAATAAATAAAAATTGAACACAATGTGTGAACACCCCCATAAGCTCTCATCACCGCTTTACCAGTTGTTAGAGCATTTTCAAAGGGATTTGCTATAATACCATTACTATTGTTATAATTTAGTAATGAATAGTAATAATTTGTCAAATTATAGTAATGGTGCTCCACTGGTACACATATTATTTTGGCAAATCTCAACCAATTTTTCTTTCAAAATTGTAGATATTGTTTAGATATCAATTTTTTTGTGATTTTTTTTTTTGGACCTTGTTTTAACTATTTGTAAAAAAATATATATATTTTTTCATTATACCCAAATAGACAAATATAAAAAATGAAAAAGAAATTGAAAAAAAATAAAAATAAATTAAATATAATTCATTCCTCCAAAAATCTATTGTAATGGCAATTTTTTTGTTCCACTGTGTTTTTTTTTATTTATTTATTATATTATTGTTTCATCTCTGGTATATTATTGTTCCATTGTGTTTATTTCTTCCATGAAATTTTTGGAGCCAAATTCTGTTTATTTGGATGATGTGGCAAGTTTGGCAATTGCCAAACTTGTTGCCAAATTTGAGAGATGAAATGGTATTTGCCAAATTTGGCAGGGGTTATAGCAGCCCATTGGAGTAAAATTTTTTAGAAATCTTGTCAAATTTTGGCAATGGCAGCTCAAATAGCTTGCCATTGGAGATGCTCTTATGTATTCGTTTGGGATATGGATTAGTTTTTTAGCTTTTTAACTATGTTAGCTTGGGTTAAAAAGTCTCGTTTGGAATAAGTTTTTTGGCTTTATTGACTTTTTTGAGAGAATAAATGAAATGACATTTTGTCCTATTTGACAAAAATAGCCAATTTTGTCCTATATAGCTATTTTAGCTCAAAGTAATAGATGGTTGTGTTTGGCTAGGGCTTTTAAGACTAAAAAAACATAAAAGAATTGTTATATCCAAATTATAATAATTTCATTTTTCTCTTATTAAAAAAAAAAAAACGAACCCAAACATACTTTTTAGTCCCAGCTAAAAAAATCCCAATTTAAAAAAGATAACTAACAAAGTCCTAGCCAAATGATAACTATTAACATTATTGTGGGTCAAATTTCAAATTGGAGAAATTTTTCTAAGAGCATCTCCAGTAGTATAGTCATTTTGTGCTGTCAGCCATAGAAACGAGCTTGGAAGGGTAAAAGATGGCTCCAGCGGACTTGCTCAAGCATCGCTAAGATGGTTGTGAGCTACAGTACCTTGCCAGGACAAGCGAGGTACTATTCATGGACCTTTTAATTTTTTATTTGTTTTTAGCTCCTGAATTTTGTTTTTGGCGGTAAAATTTTTCCCTTATTTTGGCGCTAAAAGTTGTATCAATACCTTCCCAACAAATCCATAGAGAAAGCATTCCAAATCTCACAGACTCTCTTATCCTCTCTATCTTTTTCTCAAACTTTTTGCTCAAGGGAGGTAATAAATTTTGTCATTTCTGTTTGTTTGTCTATGTATTTGTATTGCACACCATATGTTTGTTGTAATTTCTGTTAGAATATAAATTGTAAATTGTACCCAGTTTATGCTTTCTGTTTGTTTGTTTCATATGCTTTCATATAGATGGTCATTTCTGTTTGTTTCATATGCTTTCTATTCACATAAATTCCATAGACAGAACACTTTAAATATAAATTCTCTTATGTTTGGTGCATGTGCAACCTAAATTCTCTTATGTCATGAATTCCATATGACATAAATTCTATTACCCATAAATTCACTTTAAATGTTTTCCATAGACAGAACACTTTAAATATAAATTCCATATGTTTAGTGCATGTGCAACCTAAAATGTCCTTAATTTGTTTTTCTATATGCTGATAAAAAATATTTTATTTTTTATTTTGTGCTTAGTTAGTTGATAATTTCTTACCCTTCTTAACTGTTGATGATTTATGATTTATTATTTTTTTAAAATCTGTGGTTAATAGCAAATGTAGTAAGAATTAACAAAGTTTTTAAAACAAGTATAGAGCAGTGTTTGTATTTATAACTACCAAAGCAGTGTTTGTATCTATAACTACCAATGTCGGTTGACAGAAAAGTTGAACTGCTAATCTCTGTGTGTGTAGTCGGACAATCTGAGGAAACAAATTCATATATTTAGACAAATTTTAATGAATAAACCTAATTGGACTTCGAAATGGGCTAAATTAATGGTAGTTGAGTGTAATTGAACAATTTGCAGGTTGATTGATATTATTAAACAAAAAAACTTGCTTCAATTATACATCAGCATCATCATCACCAACTCTTAGCCACAAACTTTAGGCAAAACCCAAAAGCAAGCAATTACCAAATTAGTACTACCACCTTAGGAAAGACTGTTAGATAATGAAAACAGGGTACAAAATAGAAATGGAGATGAAAAAAACACTGTTGGATTATGTTAAGGGATCAACCAAAATGGGTGGTAGAGTCTGAGAAGAAAAAACAACCAAAAAGACCAAGAATAGGGACAACCACTTCTCCTTGTACTCCGGATTCAATAAATCTAGGGGAAGACGATGTCTCACCTAATGCTTTTGTAGACTTGGAGAGACCAACCGGTAGGAAGGATGAAAAGGAGCGATTGAATAAACGAAAGAACAAAGAAAACGTACATTCGAGTATTACAAAAACTTTGGAGGACATCAAGCAAGACAAAAAGAAAATGATTGACAAGAAAATTGAAATGATTGACAAAATGTACGTTCAAAAATAAATGGAACTTCGTATCATGCAAGAAAAGCATGAGGTGGAACTTGAAAAGCATGAAATAAAACTTTTCAAAGAGGACGAAAGAGTTATTTTGATGGATCTTAGTGGCTTGCCGGAAATCCAACAAGAATTTTATCGTGCTCGGCAGATAGAAATCATTAAGAAAAGAAGAATGAATTAGTATTCATTCTTTCTTTGCTCTTTATGATATTTTAGCTTTTGTCTAGTAGGCTAGAAACTTGATATATGATATTTTGGCTTTTGTCTAGGATAGATGTTGAACTCAGCAATGTTTTGGTACACAATGTTAGTTGTCTAATCTGATGTTGTTTGTGCTGTGTTGTTCTGCTGCTCTTTGTGCTGTGTTGCTGCCATTTTTGGCCTGTTTTCTAATATGTTTTTGTTGCTATTTTGCTGGTGTTTTTGGGCTGTTTTGATGGTGTTTTGGGGCTGTTTTGCTGCTGTTTAATGTAAGTACTAAGTGTTACTTGTTCTTAGCTTTTGAATCCAAAAGTAGGTTGTGGTTGAGACGGGGCAACAACCAGTACTAATTGATTAATTGTGGTTTAGCTTTGAGCATTGATGAATGATCATCAAAGATGATATTGGGGAGGAGTGATGTGTTTAAGCTTGAGGTGTAGTTTGGTGGTTGGGCAGAATCATAATGAAATGGATTGATGTATATATGTAAAAGATTTATAGTTTTAGGATGCCAATGCAGGTCTCTTTAATTTTTATCCAAATGATTACTGCATGCATGCATCTACTATTGGAAAGTAAAAAAAAGTAAAATAAAACCAGGAATAAAAAAACCCGGGAATGCATCTCAAAAAGACGGTGTAGTTAGGCTTCATTCACCTCACACTGAATTCTTGCATATTTGGTAAGCTGGAGTCCTCTGAATTCTTGCATCTTTGGTGAGCTGAAGTCATATCCATATGAAATTGCTGTGATATTTGGAAATTGATCCATTATGGGACCATGTTCATCGGAAACTTGAAGTTTCTGAATCGTTGCTAGATAAATATTTTATACTGTAAGGGTTGTATTAGTATAATTTTGGTTTCCTAAATTGGAATGGAATGAAGCCATGAAAGAATCAGATTCATGTTTCTGGTGTATATTTGGTCAAATTGAAAGGTATTTTTAAACTATCACATAACAGTAATAACACTTCAGTAGTTATTTCTGATAAGTAACATTTATAGTGCTTAATGAAACATAACTTTTAACACGAATTAATCTCAACATTTATAAAGATGGATTGAAGTTAAACCTTGAAAGCATTGTGAGAACTAAGTGTAAATCTGTTGATTGGAGAGAATCAAATAGTTTGACTATTGTAAATCCGTTGACTGGAGTGGAAATTTGAATTGAAATATAATATTTCCCAAGAATGAATGGAAATTTGAAAGAGAATACATGTAAACTTGGCAAAATAGTTAAAGTGTAAATCTGTTACATGTTTTTGAACTGATTTTGCTACTGTTTTGTTGCTATTTTTGTGGTGTTTTTGCTACTATTTTGCTGGTATTTTTGCTGCTATTTTATGCTGTATTTTCTCTACATTGCTAATGATTTATATATATATATATATATAAGGCATATAATTAAAGTGAAAACCATATAATTAAAAGGCATATAGAATTATAAAATTATACATAGATTAAAAGCATATACTGATTACATTCAAAACTAATAGCATACTACATAAAATGAAACTTCAAATTCAAAGCTTTTACAACTCACTGTGTAATTGCCACAAGTGTTCGACAAGGTCCGATTGAAGATGAGAATGTGTTTGCCTGTCTCTAATGTTATGATGACATTGAATGAATTCCATAAGTTCAGTAGTTCTCTCCTGTAACACTGTTACATGAGGATTGCCATCGATTTGATCATAATTGAAGTCTTTTACTCCATTGTCATCCCGCTCATCCTCAATGATCATATTATATAGAATTATGCACACCTTCATAATGTATTTAAGCATTTTAGTATTCCAAAAATGTGCCGGTAGATGCATAATTGAAAATCGTGTTTGAAGCACTCCAAACGCATGTTCTACATCTTTTCTTGTCGCCTCTTAAGCTGCAGCAAAAAGTTTTTTCTTATTTCCTTGAGGAGAATGAATTGTTTTCACAAATGTTGACCATTGTGGATATATACCATCGACGAGATAGTATCCCATTGTATATTCATTACCATTGATGGTGTAATTAACTGCAGGAGCACGCCCTTTAGCAAGTTCGGTAAATGCAAAAGACCTTTCTAGCACGTTGATATCATTATGAGACCCAGGTAATCCAAAAAACGCATGCCAAATCTAAAGATCATATGATGCAACAGCTTCCAAAATAATTGTTGGTTCATGAATGTGACCGGTATACATACCTTTCAACGTAGTCGGACAATTTTTCCATTTCCAATGCATACAATCAATGCTCCCCATCATTCCAGGAAATCCACAACTTTCACCAACCACTAGTAGTTTAGCGATGTCATTGCTGTTTGGTGACCTGAAATGCTCATTAGAAAAAATATCAACAACTGCTTTAACAAAATATTTTAAGCTTTCTATTGCAGTGCTTTCTCCAATTCTCACATATTTGTCCATAAAATCAGCGGCTACTCCATAAGCAAGCATCCTAAGTGCAATAGTTATGTTTTGAAGAGAAGACAAACCAAGCTTTCTAGCACAATTTATTTTTTGGAGAAAGTATGGATCGTGCGTTTCTACTGCAGCTTGAATTCGAAGAAAAAGTGAACGCTTTATCCGAAACCTCTTTCAAAATAGCTCAGGAGGATATACAGGCGATTCAGCAAAATAGTCGAGAAAAAGCCTTTCATGACCTTGAACATGATCACGATGAATGACTTTACGACCTCGAACAGAACCACGACGTGAGTTTGATTTTATCTCACTATCTAGTAGTTCTTTATCTATAGTAACAGCTTTGAGCATCTCCAAATCATCATCAGATTCAGAGAAGTCAGAGTCATTTACAAGCATATCATAAAGAGAATTGGAAGCCATAGAGAGAGATATGGAAGTTTGGATGAAGTAGAAAATTGAGTTGAGGGTAAGATCAAATGATAGGGAATGTCTTATTTATAACGGAAAAGTATAAAAATATGACCGTTGGAAAAATATGACCATTGTAAAAATTTGAAAAAATATGATCGTTACAAAAATATGACCGTTGAAAAAATATGACCATTTGAAAAATACAATAGTAGAAAAATGTAACTTTCACAAAAATATAATTATATTTAGAAGAATGAAAAAAAAAATAATTGGAAAGAAGTTAGTTTTTTTTTTTCTTTCTTAGATTGGAAAGAAGGTAGTTAAAATATAAGAATATTCTAATAACAGATAGCTAAAGTAGATAGCCTTGTTGGAGTGTATATTAAAAAAATGACTAGCTAAAATAGTAAAGTAAAATTTTGAATAGCTATTTTAACTATCATTGCTGGAGATGCTCTAAGAGCATCCCCAGCAGTTCACTTAAATTTTACCCTAAAATATTATTAAAAAATTTATTCCTATTTTAGGAATCATTTTTTCATTTACTCTCTCCATCAAACTCCATATTCTTTCTCTATTCTATTAAAATAATCTTTTCAATTGCTTTTAAATTTGAATATTTTTTTAATAATAGAATAATAAATGAGAAAGTGTTAGAAATCCATTTTATTTGTATGTAAATGCATCAGAAGTTGTCTAAACTTGAGATTATAAAACAAACCAGTCTCATCTCTTCTAATTTCAACTCAATCCACCAAAAACACGTCCAAATTCAAACCCCAAATCATTCAACAATCCAATCCAAACCAACCCATCAAAATTCCAAGCAAACCCGGTTCGAGAATGAACCCAATTCTAACAACCCATCAACAAGAAAAACCCTTTTTTCCACAACACCCCCACAAAAGACCCATAATGTTACACTTCCTACCTCTCTCCACCACCACCGCAACAACACCAATGTGTTCAATTCAGAACCGTCTCAACCCTCCTTAGCCTTCCTTCAATTCGATCCCTTATTCCTTCAATTCAATTCTTGAGTCTTATGTCCTTGTTGTTCATGTCTAATCCTTACTATGGGCTATGGGCTTCACTAGAACAAAAGATCCCTCTCAAACAAAGGTGAGGTCATTCGTCCAGACCTTCGGCCGGTCGTTCGGTAGGTCAACCCCCTGGACATCCAACCTCTTGTTTGGGCTGCTATGTTTGCGTATTCAACGAAATAAAATAAGAATTTATCATATATGAGAGAGCTACAGTGACTCCCTACAAATAGAAAGTCACTACAACAATCCTAAATTTAAGGGATTATATAAGGGATCTGATGAGATTGAATTTTTGAATAATCAATCCCTTATAATAGCGAAAAGCCAAAAAGTTAGCCTATTTTATCTTTTGTGGCTAAAATAGCCAAAAAAGTCCCGTTTAGCTCTTGCCAAACAGAGCCTTATTGGTTTTGGGGTATCACTACGTGATATTTTAGCAATATTATCTCGTTTGGCAAGAGGCTATTTTAGCCAATTAGTCAAAAAGTTACTAAATTAGTCAAAAAGCCAACAACTCATACCAAAAAGTCAAAGATTCTCTTTTTCTCTCTACTTTTTGAATATCTTTTTGTAATTAGTCAAAAAGTCATCCCAAACATACAAGTTTTTTTTACCTACCTTTTTAGCCAAATAGCCAAAAAATTACTAAATTAGCCTGTTCCCAAATGAGGCCAGTGAACTTACAAATTTATATTGAATAATTAAAAATATGATAAGATATAATAAATTATGATTGTTGAGAGATATGATTAGGAGATGTTCCTAAGAACTCGTTTGGGAAGTTGGTTGATTTTTTAGTTTTTTGATTATTTTAACCTGGGACTAAAAAGACTAATTTGAAAAGAGTTTTGACTTTTTAAATTTTTTTGTGAGAAAAAAAATATAATAATTATAAATTAAATATAATATTCTATCTTATTAAATTAAAAAATTTATTTCATTTTTTATAAATATTTTAGTTAAAAAAAAACTTCAAAACTAACTTCCCAAACGGAGGTTAAACTACCCCATAATTTTCATTCCACAAAAATACAAATCGCAACAAAGCCGAAAAACATAAAGAAAAGGCAAGCCGCAATCCACGTCAACGATCTGCGTAATGAAAACAAGACCAACCGTCGATTTATACCATATCAACGTACCAAAATCAAGAAGACAACAACACACGGATCGACTCTCTTCACCATCGATCAAAAGCCCAAAACTCAAACAACTACCAATTACCCCGCTCAAATTTCAAACCCCGCATACCTTCCCTATATAAACCCACCCACCCACTCCCTCTCAATCTCATCAAATTCAAATCAATCTCTCTCTCTTCATATTTCACTTAACTCATCAATCTTTGTCACTCCATTCGACAATAATGTCTGGTCGTGGAAAGGGAGGCAAGGGTTTGGGCAAGGGCGGAGCAAAGCGGCACCGCAAGGTCCTCCGAGACAACATCCAGGGGATCACGAAGCCGGCGATTCGGAGGCTGGCCAGGAGAGGAGGTGTTAAGAGAATCAGTGGGCTGATCTATGAGGAGACTCGAGGAGTGTTGAAGATTTTCTTGGAGAATGTGATTCGCGATGCTGTGACCTACACAGAGCACGCTAGGAGGAAGACTGTGACTGCCATGGATGTTGTCTATGCTCTCAAGAGGCAGGGGAGGACTCTGTACGGTTTTGGAGGTTGATGCTTGGGTTTGGGATTCTGTTTTTGTTGGGGGTTTTGGCATTAAAATGTCGATTTATGCAATGGATAATTGTTTGGTCTGTGGTTATGTAATAGAATGACTCCACATTTCAATATAATGCATATCTGGTTTCGATACATCCTTTCTCTCTATGTTTGTTGTTGTGTGTTTGTCTCTAAACTATGATTTTGGTTTTGATTGCCTGTATACCCCATATATCTTACAACTTATTTCCCAAGTTGAAGCAGTTTTTGAATTTATCTGCCAAACTCAAATACATGTTGTTAAATTTGGTTTTTAAAATATGTGAATTTGGTAAGGTATGCCTGTATCACAGGTTGAATGTTGTGAATAAAAGTATCTCTCGTTGGGTTTTGCTGCAATTTTTGTGTTTTCTGTGGCTGGTAAGGTGTAAAGACTACAAAACCTAGGTCGAATTGAAGGCCTGGTTTGGCAATTGGGTTTGGTCTTTTGATGCTCTTTTGCACTGGGATTAGGTTTTGATCTTGTTCTATTATTTAAGAGGATCTGATTATCAGTTATGGCTTATTTTGAGAAATAAATTAAAAGTTATTTTTTGATTTTTTTTTTTGAAAAAATTTGTAAAAAAATAAAGAAATGATGACTTAAAAAAAATATTTTAACCTCTTCATCAGAATAGGCATGTTAATTGAAGCATGTAACTTTTGTTTATCTGTTTACATCGCCAACGTAGGTTTATTGGCTGAGCTTTGGCATTGCTTGGACTGGTTGATTATCAGCTGGATTTTAGCAAGTAATATCACTGACATGGTAATTTCCATAACTGCTACTCCTGTACAATGTTGGTTTGATGGTTTATGCCTTGTTCTATATATGAAGTGTTGGAAATTTATGGCTTTGGGTCACCTTTAGCCCAAATTTAAGTGGGTCTACATGTTTTTTAGGGTGAGTTCAAAGAGGAGATGCGTTTCTTGTTACATGATAAGTTATACGGTAAAAACAGTTTGTCAAAATCATTTATGAGTGAATAAGAAGTTGATGTCACTTTTGGATTTGTGAAATGAGAAGTTGAAGAGTCAAATATGGATTTTTTTTAAATTGGTTGTCCCACATTGAAATTTTAAGAGAGTTTGTGTGGATATATAAGTTTTAGGTTGACTTATTTGGGTTGGGCTTAGAGGGGTATCTCAAGTTTTGTAAAGAGGGAAGTTATAGACAAAGTAAGTTTTGGCTCAAACCACTACACGCACATCACTGTTTGTCCGATCAGGCCAGGCACGGGTGTGTGAGTTGGGTCAGGTTCTAACTTTAATTTTTTGGAAATTTTTTTCAAAATTCTTGCAGAAAAATTTGAATTTCTAATGAAATAAATTCAAATTTTCTATCTGAAACAGTGCCTCTCTAGTCACCTTCCTTTCCTATCCGGCAATTCTTGTTTCACACCTGTTCAGAGGGATTTATACCCTTCCGAATATGCATCATAATGCTTATAAATACAGATCCTTTCCAGTAGTTTCAATCATCCAATTCATTCTTTTGTGCTTTTGTTTTTCTTCGCCTACATATATATTCTTCATATTAGATTACAGAATTTTCAGAGTTGCAAACATAGGTTTGGTTTGTCGAACAAATTGTTTGTAGTGTTACTATAATTTGTGTAAGATCATTGTATCTTGGAAGATAAATGCCATTAATCTGTAAGCACTTAAACGGGATAAATCTGTCTTAAGGATAGAGTGTCACACACTCGATTTAATCAAAAAGTTACTGTTCTAATTTCTGATACAAAAATATTTTTGTAAGCAATTTATTTTTGTTATTTTAATTTTATTTCTTTACATAGAAGATTGTTCCAACACGAAGTGTTTTGTACGTGTCATATTACTTCTTTGAGTTATGATGGTAAGTTTTGGATTTAAATATTATTGAGACACATACAGCTAAGTGTAATTTTTTAAAATTAATTACAGATTAACAATAAATTTTATAAACATTAATAATTAATATTATAATTTTTTTCATATATGTGAAATGTTTTTTTGAAAATTCCATTGGATCATTAATTCCCTAATATTATTTAGGGGATGTTTGAGAAGAGGGTTGAGTTAAAATAATCTACTAAAAGACAATAAGACCAACAATCTTGTGGGTGCCTCGAAATAAGCTGCCATGAAATCTTTGTTTTCCCTCCCATGCACGTGGTTTTCACACGCTTGTTAAATAAAAGAAAACAATAATAATTCAAAAACAAACAGAAGAGAGGAGAGGATAGAGAGAGAGAGAGAACTAGATAGCAGAGTAGAGCAGCCACCCATCTGTTAAACATCTTCATCGACAACCACGACGACCACCGACGACCGTCGTTGACCACCGAGACCACCATCTACCTCTGTTCGAAATCCCTACCGTTGAATTTATTCATAGGAGATTAGGTAAGTTCTTTTGTTTTGGTTATGTGGCCAATGTTTTTGTAATGATGCATTCCAGGTGTTTGATGAAAGTCCACATAAAAAAATTAGTAATTTTGTTCATAAAAAATCACCCAAGTTGCAAGTGATAATAGTATGTTATGATTTTCTTTAGAATTGTAGATGGTTTTTATAGAGATGGTTCCAGAATTGGAGATGTTAAATACCATTGACTAATGTTTTTTCATGTGGAAAGTTGTTTAATTGTGGGAATCTATGTTGTGGGCAATTGGATCTCAAGTTTGTGCTTCAGTGAATATATACCTGAATGAATCAATAACTATCTTTAAGTGTCATCTATGAATTCAGAATTTTGTGGATTGGTTGAATGTGAGGGGAATTAGATTAAATTTGTGGAAATATATATATATATTTTTTTCCGATTATTAAGGCTTTTTAGTCTTGAAAATGTGAGGGGTTTTGGACGTACTTGTCATACAAGGTTAGGATTTGCATTAGATTATCATGCAGTCTGGTTTGGGAAGTGAAAGAAAACATGGATGATGGTGAATACACTACACCTTTTTGTCACTACATTCGTTTACACTTTTTTTTTGGGTCTGTTTATTGGTTATGTAGATTGAATTTCTGTTTGAAGCTATATCCTTCAATGGACATTGATTCAAACAATCCTTCATTGAATGTGAGTGAGGAAGTTGAAGAATCGGAAAATAATCCTTCATTAAATGAGAGTGGTGAAATTGAAGAACCTAAGAAGAGGATGTGATTTAGCTCAAAGCAAGAAGTATACGCGTTTTATGCAAAATATGCGGAACACCTTGGATTTGCTATAGCTTATAGAACACAAAATATTGGAGAAGATGGGAAAGTAAAATACTTTGGTATTGAATGTACTCGGGTACAGTAGAGAATAAATAGATCAGAATTACACCATCTAAAACCATATTTGCCATCAAAAATTGAATATAAAGCAAAGGTAAGAGCGACTTTGCAAAAGGATGGGATTTAAGTTAACCACAGTTGTGCTTGAACATACGCATGACTTGATTCCTAGTGACTCACGACAGTTTGCAATGTATAAAAGGATTCTTACTCTTGCGAAGAGAAAACTAGAAATAAACGATGAGGTGGGGATATGGGTGGTTAGAAATTTTCATTCTATAGTTGTTGAAGCGGGGGATACGAGGCATTAACATTTGATGAACGAGATGCAAGGAATCACATTGAGAACGCTAGAAGATTGAGGCTTGGGATAGGAGATGCCGAATCAATTGCACTTTATTTCCATAGGATGCAACAAAAAAATTCAAACTTTTATCCTACAATTGACTTTGACGAAGATGGTCGCATGCGAAACTTGTTGTGGGTGGATGCAAGGAGTAAGACATCTTATAAAGCATTTGGGGATATTGTTTCATTTGACATAACCTATCTCACAAACAAATATGATATGTCATTTGCTCCGTTTGTAGGAGTTAATCACCACGGCCAGTCAATTTTGTTTGGTTGGAGACTGTTATGTAATGAGAACACTGAGACATTTGTGTTACTATTCAGAGAATGGTTAAGTTACATGTTAGATGCTCCCCCAATATAAGGCGCTTCTTTCTACTTTTTTCTCAAAGTCAAGCAAGAAACCTTTCGTCTTTATTGAGGAGATATAAAAAAAAGCTTACTTACTAAGCAAACGTAGGCTTGGGCTTGAAAGTAACAAGCAATGGCTTGAGCTGCGCGAAAGTCGTTGCGCGTTAGTGCATCCGTTTTCTCGCTTGTTGGAGCTATGAAGCATCTTAGAGTATTCAATTCCATTTTTCAGCTAGACAAAAAAGTTTCAACTTTCCGCGGGATCTTATTTTTGCTGGATGAACAAACAAGTTTGAGCCCGACCATAGAAAGGATAAAGGCTTGCCAGCAGAAATCCTGAGACCCTACCCTAAAGCTAGCTAAGACTTCCGACGAATTTCATTCTTTTGTCCGAGCTGACCATTTGTTTCCGAGTTCATTTTCAATTGACTTATTAGTCTGGCCTTGTTCCGCTTGTACGCCACTCTTTTGTGCTGCTGGTTGGTTCAATCCTTACCAACCACTGCTCGAATAATTAACTACTGTAGAGCTATGCAAAATGCCATAGAAATTTTCTTCTCACATGCTCGACATCGTTGGTGCTTATGGCATATAATGAAGAAAATTCCAGAGAAACTGAGAGGATATTCCCAATATGAATCCATAAAATTTGCTTTGCGAAATGCAGTTCATGATTCTCTCACAAAAGATGAATTTGATGAAGAATGGCAAGCAATGATTGCAAAGTTCAATCTGGATGATAATGAGTGGTTGGGGTATTATATAGTGAGCAACATAGGTGGATTCCTGCATACGTTAAAGACATTTTTTGGGCTAGCATATCAACTACACAACGAAGTGAGAGTATGAATACATTTTTTGATGGATATGTGATTTGAAAGACAACTTTAAAGCAATCTGTTGAACAACATGACAATGTGTTGAGAAGTAAGGTGGAGAAAGAGACCAAAGCAAACTTTAAATCTCGAAACAAATTGTATGATTTCTTAACGGTATATGAGTTTGAGAAGCAATTTCGTACAACCTACACTAATGCAAAATTTAAAGAAGTTCAAGTAGAATTGAAGTGACTGTTGTACTGTTATGCGACTCTTGTGAAAGAGGAGTGATCAATTTGTATTTATCATGTCAGGAAGTCTATTGT